TAATGTAAAAGTATTAAGAATGTGCAATGTAAAGACCCAATTTGCGCGCGGTGAAAGTTGTTATTTTTTTTTTCTTCTTCTGGAAAGTGAAAGCAGATTTTTGCAAAGTAAAAGTAACTCATCTTTTCTGGGTTTCGTAACAGACAGTCTTCGTTTCCGAACGACGAATGGCGAGGCTGACAGATAGACAGAAAGATAGATAGATAGGCAAGCAAGGAGGCAGGCAGGCAAGCAGGCAGGAAGGCAATCAGACGCTGAATGAGAGAGTGAGTAAATATACGAACTTAGAGAGAGAGAGAGAGAGAGAGAGAGAGAGAGAGAGAGAGAGAGAGAGAGAGAGAGAGAGAGAGAGAGAGAGAGAGAGAGAGAGAGGGGTGAGGGAGAGGGAGAGGGAGAGGGAGAAAGAAACAAAGAAACAAAGCAAAGAAGGAAAGAGAGAGAGAGAGAGAGAGAGAGAGAGAGAGAGAGAGAGAGAGAGAGAGAGAGAGAGAGAGAGAGAGGGTGAGGGAGAGGGAGAGGGAGAAAGAAACAAAGAAACAAAGCAAAAGAAGGAAAGAGAGAGAGAGAGAGAGAGAGAGAGAGAGAGAGAGAGAGAGAGAGAGAGAGAGAGAGAGAGAGAGAGAGAGAGAGAGAGAGAGAGAGACGTATGCAAACAGAGAGAGAGATAGGCAGCCATTGAACCGCGGCCGCACACGTCCACATTCATAAACAGCGAAAAAGGGAGAACGAGAAATAAAATGAAAATGATTGAGAGAGCACGAATGAGTTGCCAGAATAAATTTGCAATTAGATAAACAGATGAACATGTTTAATTAGCCGTGGATTTCCTCATTAAGTAAGGAGGAGGAGGAGGAGGAAAAAGAAGGAAGAAGTAAGAAGAAGGAGAAGAAGAAAACGAAGACGAGGACGAGGACGAAGAACAGGAAACTTATAAGGAAAAAGGAAAAAGGGAGAAGAAAAAGGAAGGGGAAGAGAAGAGAAAGAGAAGGAGGAGGAGAAAGAGGATGACGATAACCTCGACGATGAAGAAGATTGGGAGGAGGAGGAAAGAGAATAAAGAAGATTAGGTAGAAGAAAAAAGGGAAAAGGAGGAGAGAGAAACGAGAGAGAGAGAGAGAGAGAGAGAGAGAGAGAGAGAGAGAGAGAGAGAGAGAGAGAGAGAGAGAGAGAGAGAGAGAGAGAGAGAGAAATAGGAAATGTGCTATGGAGAACCTATTTTTCCCCGTCTCTCTCTCTCTCTCTCTCTCTCTCTCTCTCTCTCTCTCTCTCTCTCTCTCTCTCTCTCTCTCTCTCTCTCTCTGCTGTTGATATTTATAGCAATTGCTTTGACAACCTCATCCAACTGCCAAGAGAGTTTTATGAACTAGAGATTTTGAGGAGAAAAGGAAGAGAAATGATAAGAGTAAGTTAAATATGGATAGGAGTGAGTACGTGACTGAGGGAGTGAATGAGAGAGATAGAGAGAGAAAGAGATTTAGATAGATACAGAGTGAGGGAGATATATATATAGAGAGAAAGAGATTTAGATAGATACAGAGTGAGGGAGATATATATATAGAGAGAAAGAGATTTAGATAGATACAGAGTGAGGGAGATATATATATAGAGAGAAAGAGATTTAGATAGATACAGAGTGAGGGAGATATATATATATAGAGAAAGAGATTTTGAGAGAAAGAAACAGATTTTGAGAGAGAAAGAGATTTAGGGAGAGAGAAAGAGAAAGAGATACAGAGATAGAGGAAGAGATTTAGAGAGAGAAAGAGAAAGAGATTTATAGAGAGAGAAAGAAAGAAAGAAATAAAGAAAGGGACAAAGAAAGAGCAAGAGAAATGGAAAAGGAAGAAAAGAGAGAGAGGAAAAGCGAGGCAAAGACTGAGGCAAAATAACAGATAATAACACGAATAAATAGATGAAGAAAAAAGGGAGAAAATCAAGGCACGAAGTACAGGAGGTGATAAAAGAGAACCAAAGAGTGGAGGCAAAGGAGGCGGGGAGGGAGGATGGGGGAGAGCAAAGGGGGGGGGAGGGGTGAAGGGAAGGTAAGGGTAAGGGGGAGGGGGAGGGGTACAGGGAGGGGAGACCTGATTTATATCATGTTCTCGGGACAGACGACAGAGGCTGCAAGGGGGGAGGAGCGGGGAGAGGGTGTGGGGAGGGGGAGGGGAGGCGTCAAGGTATGTTATGAAGGTAGTTGTCAAGGCCGATTATCCCGGGCCATAACTCGGGTCTGTGCTCCTTGCCGGAATCGCAATGGTGTGGGGGGGGGGGAGTGGGGGGAAGGGGAGGGGGAGGATTGTCGCTGTCTTGCCCCCTCCCCCCCTCTCTCTCTCTCTCTCTCTTCTCGGCGTGGTGTTTCTCCTCTTTTTTTCCTCTTTCCTCTCTCTTTCTCTCTACATCGCTCCTTCCCTCTCCCTCCCCATCCTTCCTTCCCTCCCTCCCTTCCTCCCTCCCTCCCCATCCTTCCTTCTCTCCCTCCCTCCCGTCCCTCCCTCCCTCCCTCCCTCCCCATCCTTCCTTCCCTCCCTCCGTCTCTCCCTCCCCCCTCCCTCCCTCCTTCCCTCCCTCCCTCCCTCCCTCCCTCCCCTCCCTCCCTCCCTCCCCATCCTTCCTTCCCTCCGTCCGTCTCTCCCTCCCCCTCCCTCCCTCCCTCCTTCCCTCCCTTCTTCCCCATCCTTCCTTCCCTCCCTTCCTCCTTCCCTTCCTCTCTCCCTCTCCCCCCCTCCCTCCCACCTTGAAAAATGATGATGGAGAAAGAGACAGCGGAAATAGCTTAAAGTTTTAACAGTAATTTGTGTGGGAGTTATTGATGATTTTTTAGGCACATTTTTCTTCCTTCCAATTTTTTTTTAATACTTTTTTTTTTTTTTTTTTTTTTTTTTTTTTTTTTTTTTTTTTTTTTTTTTTTTTTTTTTACTTTTTTTCCCTCCTTTTCAAGAGATAGATTGTATGTCTAGAGTTTGTGGTGTGTGTGTGTGTGCGGAGGGGGGAGAGAGAGGGGGGAGGGGGAGGGAGGGAGGGATGAGGGGGGATTTTATTTTTTACTTGCGTCTCCTTCGTGATAATTTCGAGTTTCCTTGTTTTTTTTTTTGTTTTGTTTTTGTTGTGGGAGTTCGTAGGGTCGCGGACTCGTGTGAATTTGCCATTTATTTATTTGTTTTTGTTATTTTTTTTTCAGAGGTCGATGTTGTGAAAAGAATCTGGTTTATAAATTTTGCTTTTGTCTGACTTTTTTTTAAGGGTATTGGATCCTCTTGTCTTTTTCTTTCTCTTTTTTCTGTCTTTTGTCTTCTTTTTTTTATTTGTTCGTCACTTATTAGTCTTTTTTTGTTTTTTCCCTCTCTTCATTTCTCTCTCTCTTTCTCTTATCCTCCCTATCCCTCACTCCCTCCTTCCCTCCCGCTTACTTCCCTCTCCCTCCCTCCCTGTCCCTTCCCTCTCCCCCTCCCTCCTCCCTCTTCTCCCTGTCCCTTCCCTCCCTTCCCTCCCTCCCTCCCTCCCTCCCTCCCTCCCTCCCTCCCTCCCTCCCTCCCTCCCTCTTCCTCTCTCTCTCTCTCTCTCTCTCCTCTCTCTCCGAATTTACTTGCGAATTTATCACCCAACCCATTAGATAATTTATCCACCTATTTACCTTACCTGAATATTTGGCACTTTGTTCACGTCAAGAAGCAGCCGTATTTCAGATTTAGTATTAGGGTAATGACTCCTCGATGCAGTTTAACGGTCAGTGAGCGTTTGGCAAGCGGGCAAGCGAGTGGGCAAGCGGGCAAGTAAGTAGGTAAGTGGGCAAGTAAGTAGGCGAGCGAGCGGGCAAGTAAGTAGGCAAGCGAGCAAGTAAGTAGGCAAGCGAGCAAGGAAGTAGGCGAGCGGGCAAGTAAGTAGGTAAGCGGGCAGGCAAGCAAGCAGGAAAGCGAACAGGCAAGCGAGCAAGCAAGCAGGCAGGCAAGCAGTCCCGAGGCAGCAGGAGCAGCGGGGACTTGATTTTGCCCCAGTTTGTGAACTTGGGTGATGTGTCACGGGTAGGTGGGCGAGATGGTAAAAATCTTGATCATCGTAGAGTTAATGTACGTGGGCGTTTCGTTATCGTCAGAACTAAGCTGGAAAATATGTTTGAAATTGGAATGGCTGTGAAGGAAACGCCGTCAAACTTATTTTATGGCGAATTTAAACGGGAGTTGTAATGGCGTTTTGTAAAAGTTTGAAAACGAATTTCAAGCAGATACAGTAATAAAATATTTTATGATTCATATTAAGGGCACAAAACGCCGCAGTAAAAATTTTAATATCAGATGGCAGGAATTCGTAAATATTCTTTGGGAATTTTGAGGGAGGGGGGGGAGGGGCGGGCGAGACACGGGAGATCCTTAATATTAGTGGACCCCCTTTTCTCTCTTTCTCTCTCAGCCAATCACAGGGTGCCACGTCATTTCCCTCGCCTTTTGAATGGACCAATCACACCCGACCTTCCTGCCCGCTGCGCTATCTGCACTTTTAAACATCGGGAATTCAAAAAGAGAAAAAGAAAAGAAAAAAGAAGAAAGAAAAAGGAAAAAAAGAAATATATATGTAATGCTCTTCATTTTTTAAACAATTGGTCAGTGCACGCGTAGTTCAAGCCGTCGTTAGAAGGCATTGATTTCCTCCAATTAGACTGTCATAAAGAACCATGTTATAATACTGCTCTCTCATTGGCTCGTCGCAAAGACTGTATGTTGTAAGATTACCTCTCATTGGCTTGTCATAAAAGGTTTATCCTGTAAGATTATCTCTTATTGGCTTGTCATAAAGAGCGCTGGTGTAAGATTGCCTCTCATTGGTATGTCACAAGCGGCAGTAAATTGCTTACCTGACACTGATCAAATACTTAGCGTGGGAAATGGCTGCCAAGGTTGAGGCGGATTCTCGGTCTAATATAAACATTAGTTTGTTTTTATTTGCATATTTTTTTATTATTATTATTTTTTTTATATGTAAGTAGTACATGTGTATTATGCGGCACCATGTCGGATGCGTTTGGAGAGCGGATATTGAAGGTG